GACTCCAACGACGAAAAGGGACTCACACGACGAAAAGGGACTCACACGACGAAAAGGGACTCACACGACGAAGAGGGACTCCACGACGAAAACGGACTCCAACGACAAGAAGGGACCGAAGCAACGAAAAGGGACTCCACGACGGAAAGGGGCTCCGCGACGAAACCGAACTCCAGTGACGAAAAGGAGCTCCCGCGACGACGCGAGGGACTCCCACGACGAAAGAGGACTTCAACGACGAAAAGGGACTTGCACGACGAAAAGGGACTCACACCACGAAAAAGAACTCCACGACGAAAAGGGGTTCCAACGACGAAAAGGATCCCCAGCGACGCGAGGCCACTGACACGAAGAAACAACGACGTACATGAAATAAAAAGAGAAAGGGAAGAAATTAAAACGAAAAAACATACCCAAACAACAAAAAGGGACGAATCGCTTCGTGGCCGGCTCCCCCCATTCACGATGACAGTGATTTAACTCCCCGTCCCGGTCCGAACCACAATAAGAGGACGACGCGGAAGAGGAGGAGGAGGAGGAGGAGGAGGAGGAGGAGGCGGAGCCACACTGATTGATTGTCGTATGGTTTCTCGAAGATTTAAGCGTTCTCGCCTTTGTCGACTCTCAGGGGGCCCTGACCGTCCAAGAGGCTGCCAAGACGGCCCAAGAGGACCCCCCACAGAGCCTCAAGGCGGCCCCGAGGCCACCAAGACGGCCTCCGCAGGAGCTACACCGCGCGAGAGCGCCCCCAAAAGGCCCAAGATGCCCGCAAGAGGCCCCGAAGAAGCCCCCTGGTGGCCACAAGAAACCTCCAAGAGACCCCCAAGAAGGCCCCAAGAGGCTCCAGAAAGGTCCCACAGCTGGACTGTACGTGGTCCTGACGGGCACCCCGCCAAACGAAAGGGATCCACATCCAAAAGTGACGTGTTAAGCAGCAGCGTTTCCTACGGATGTAAAACGCAACGTATCCAATGTATCCAAGTCTGGCGCTGAAAGGGTGGGGGCTCACCGCCGCCCCTCTTGAAGACGACGCGGCAGACCAGCGACGCAGACCCACAAAGCAAACCACCCGACGCCCAATCGCTACGTGCTCCGGACGTGCACCCCGCGAAGCCAGAGGAATCCACGTCCGGAGAAGACGTGCTGAGCGGCAGCGTTTTCCGGCGAACGCCTTAATGCAACGTATCCAATGTATCCAAAGATTGCAGAATTGCAACATATTGTGTTGTGTTACATTATTATGTTTCCCCCCCCTGACCCCCCCAAGGGCTACGCCACATCCGTCGACCCAAAGTGGCCACCCCCTCCCGGGGCTCAAAAACATACCCAAACCTATGGAAAATCAGCGATTTCGACCTCATGGGCCTTTTGGGGTGCCACGAGGGCACGAAAACGGCTCAATATGGGCCCAATAGGGCCAAAAAAACCCGAATGACGGCCCAAGAGGGCCCCAAGAGCGCCCACAACTGCGCCTCCAGAGGCCGCAATCATTGATTGTCCGGTGGTTTTGGTGATATTTCCACGTTCTCGCCTTTGCGGCCCGAACAGCTTCCAAAATCGCCCCAGAACGCCCCAACAACTCCCCAAGGGGGCCCCAAAACGGCCCAAGAGGGCCCCAAGACGGCCCAAAGAGGCCCCCAAGTCGGTCCAAAAGGCCCTAAGACGGCCCGAGAGGACCCCAAGAGGGCCCCAAGGCGGCCGCGAGAGGCCCCCAAGACGACTTCCGAAGGGGCGGAACGGCAGAAAAACGCTCCACGACGGCCCAGGACGACCCCAAGAGGCCCCAAGAGGCCCCCAAGAGGCCCCCAAGGGGCCCCAAGAAGCCCACAAGAGGCCTTCAGAAAGTCTCCAAGAAGCCTTCAAAAGTCCCCATAGAAACCCCCCAAAGCCCACACAGCGACTGGAGTGTACTGTCATTTTTCTCCCCTGGGCGAAGTGCGGCGCAGAGCCAGCCAGGTGGAAGATGGTCACGGCGGCGCCCGTGATTAGAGCTGGCGCCGGAAGGGGATATGGGGAGTGAGTATGAAAAGGAAGGAGGGGGGAGAGGCCCCAAAGACGCCCCCAAGAGGCTCAAAGAAGCTCCCAAGAGTCCTCCAGGAGGCCCCCAAGAGGCTCCCAAGAGGTCCCGCGACGACGTGACCAAGACGGTACAAAATGGCCCCAAGAGGGCCAACAAAAAAACAGACGCCCCAAGAGGGCGCCAAGAGGACCTCTGAGAGCGCTTCCAGGAAAAAACGAAACTCCCGAGATCCCCCAAAACTATTTTACTGTACGTACTCCGGAAGGCCACCCCGCGAAGCGAAAGGAATCCACGTCCGGAGGTGACGTGTTGCCGGAGGCAGGTCCGCGGAGGCTATAATGCAACGTATCCGATGTATCCATTGGTTGCATCATTGCTACATATTGTATTGTGTTACGTCATTATGTACCCCCCTAGCCCCCCCCAGGGGTCACACCACTTCCGCCGACCCAAAGTGGCCCCCCTCCTTCCTGCGCCTCAAAAACTTACAAAATACAACCAAAACCGGCGGAAAATCTGTGATTTGGGCCCCGTCGCCCTCTTGGGGCCCCACGAGGGCGTCCAGAAGGCCCAAGCTGGCCTCTGAACGGGCCAAGTCAGCCCCAAGACGGCCCGACATTGCCCCAAGAGAGCCCACGAAACCCCGAGGATGGCCCAAGAGGGCCCCGCGAGCGCCCACAACTGCGCCTCCAGAAGCCAAAATCGTATATTTTCATATGTTATACATATATATATATATATATATATATATATATATATATATATATATATATAATGATTTTAGTGTTACATCCTTTTTTCGATTGTCAGAGCCCCACGACGGCCCAAACAGCTTCCAAAATGGTTCCATAAAAAGCCCCAGAGGCTCTGAAGAGGGTCTCAAAGAGGCCCCCAAGACGGTCCAAGAGGCCTCCCACACGGCCCAAGAGGACCCCAAGAGAGACCCAAGGCGGCCGCGAGAGGCCTCCAAAAGGGCCTCCCAAGGCGCGAAGCGGCGCAAAAGCGCCGCAAGGCAGCCGACCACGCCCCCAAGAGGCCCCAAGAGGCCCCCAAGAGGCCCCCAAGAAGCCCCCAAGAGACCTCCAAAAAACCCACAAGAAGCTTCCAAGAGGCCTCAAAGAAGCCTCCAAAAGGCCACACAACGACTGGACGGTAATGTCGTAAATTCCCTCTGGGCGAACCGCGGTGCAGCGCCAGCCAGGTGGATTTTTTTGTCACGGCGGCGCCCATGATTAGAGCCGGCATTGCAGGGATAATGAAAAGGAGGGAAGGGGGAGAGGCCCCAAAGAAACACCCAGGAGGATCAAAGAAACCCCAAGAGGCCTCCAGGAGGCCCCCAAGAGGCCCCCGAAGACCCCAGTAGGTGTCGAGAAAGCCCCCAAGAAACTTCCAAGAAGCCCCAAAGAAGCCTCCAAAAGGCCACACAACGACCACGACGAAAAGGAACTCAAATGACGAAAAGGAACTCCAGTGACGAAAAGGGGCTCCCGCGACGACGCGAGGGACTCCGACGACGAAAGGGAACTCCAACGACGAAAAGGGACTCGCACGACGAAAAGGGACTCACACCACGAAAAGGAACTCCACGACGAAAGGGGGCTCCAACGACGAAAAGGATCCCCAGCGACGTGAGGCCACTGACACGAAGAAACAACGACGCACATGAAATAAAAAGGGGGAGGGAAGAAATTAAAACGAAAAAAGAGACTCAAGCAACAAAAAGGGACGAATCGCTTCCTGGCCGGCTCCCCCCCTAACGATGACAGTGATTTAGCTCCCCGTCCCGGTCCGATTCACAGTAAGAGGACGACGCGGAAGAGGAGGAGCAAGCAAGCAAGCAAGAACTCTCGGGTGCAGTCGATGGTCAAGCCTCGATAAGAAAAATAAAAAGTTTGCACCTGAGTGACGGCAATGCCGCAACTTCCCTCACCAGCAGGCGCTGCTGGTGGGGACACCACCTGAGGCCCTCGACCCGCCCTTTGGCTGGGGGATGCCAGCTGGGGGGGTGATGGGCACCACTCCGACAGATTCCGAATTACCCAGGCGGCCGCGCGCAAGGGCCTCAGGAGGATCGCCTCGGCATCGGCACGAAAGAATCCGAAAGGTAGCGAATCGGTCGCCATCCAGGGGGACGAGGAGGTGGCTCGGAGGGAGGAGGAGCGGGGGACAAGAATCCTCTCGCGATTAACTCGGCCAGACGCTGACTACGCGCTAAATTCGGGGGGAGGTCAGACACGCTCGGCGTGTCTGACCGGAGGAGGCGGAGCCACACTGATTGATTGCCGTATGGTTTTTCAAAGATTTAAGCGTTCTCGCCTTTGTCCACTCTCAGGGGGCCCTGACCGTCCAAGAGGCTGCCAAGACGGCCCAAGAGGACCCCCAGAGAGCCTCAAGGCGGCCCCGAGGCCACCAAGACGGCCTCCGCAGGAGCTACACCGCGCGAGAGCGCCCCAAGAAGGCCCAAGACGCCCCCAAGAGGCCCCGAAGAAGCCCCCTGGTGGCCACAAAAAGCCCCCAAGAGACCCCCAAGAAGACCCCAAGAGGCTCCAAAAAGGTCCCACAGCTGGACTGTACGTGGTCCTGACGAGCACCCCGCCAAGCGAAAGGAATCCACGTCCAGAAGTGACGTGTTAAGCAGCAGCTCTTCCTGCGGATGTATAACGCAACGTATCCAATGTATCCAAGTCTGGCGCTGAAAGGGTGGGGGCGCATCCGCCGCCCCTCTTGAAGACGGCACGGCAGACTAGCGACGCAGACCCGCAAAGCAAACCACCCGACGCCCAGTCGCTACGTGCTCCGGACGTGCACCCCGCGAAGCGAGAAGAATCATTCATGTGTAATTCGTGTAATTGCTCCACTCCGCGTCCGGTACCGGACAAGGCTTCGTGCTCGTACGGGACCTCGCCTTGCCTCGCCTTGCCTTGGGAGCGCCGACAATGAGTGCCCCGAAGCACCGCCCGCCCGAAGCACCGCCCGCGGCCTGTGCAGGAAGCGCCGGGGGAGCACGCCGCAGGTGGCCCGCAGCGCCCGCAGGCGGAGGCGCCGCGCGCGCCGCGGGTCGCGCGCGTACCTCGGCTAAGCCGCGAAGAGACTTCCCCTCCTCCTCCTCCTCCTCCTTTTCCTCCTCCTCCTCCTCCTCCTCCCCCTCCTCCTCCTCCTCCTCCCCTCCTCCTCCTCCTTTTCCTTCTCCTCCTTCTCCTGCTGATCGTCGTCCTCCGCCTCGTCGAGTCGGGGGCCCGGGGGTTGCTATGCCCCTGGCCCAGCGTGCCCCAAGTATTTTATTCCATTTTGGAGCCCCTGGGGCCCTGTGGGCTTCGTGAGGGGTGCTCTGGAGGCCGTGGGGGCCTCCCTGGAAATCCTGGGGGCATCTTGGACCAGGGACACTTCTAGCAACACCCAATATATTGGGTCCGAATAGATGGGGTCGGAGGATCGTGCGGCTTCGCCAAGTCAGCGTTTTCTTAGCCGGCGTTGAAACATTGGGCAGAAGATGGGGAGGGGGGGTCCAGCTCCGGACCTCTGCTCAGTGCGGCTGTTTGGAACTGTGCGTCCTCTGGGGGAGACTCCACCTGCTCGAAACAGACGCCAAAAAATAGCCAAGATTTACTCCATGGGGGGCAAGGGAGCGGGAAAAAGTTCTTCTCCCGGAAAAGGGTTACTTCTCCGGGAAAAGGGTTACTTCTCTGGGTGAAATGAAGCAAATGCCGGGTCGGTTACTTCTCCGGCCTTCCCCTAACACCACAAACCAAACGCCAAACACCAACCCCCAAACATCAACCCCCAAACACCAAACACAAAAAACAAAAAATAAAAAAACACCAAACACAAAACACCAAGCACCAAGCACCAAGCACCAAGCACCAAGCACCAAGCACCAAGCATCAAGCACCAAGCACCAAGCACCAAGCACCAAGCACCAAGCACCAAGCACCAAGCACCAAGCACCAAGCACCAAGCACCAAGCACCAAGCACCAAGCACCAAGCACCAAGCACCAAGCACCAAGCACCAAGCACCAAGCACCAAACACCAAACACCAAACACCAAACACCAAACATCAAACACCAAACACCAAACACCAAACACCAAACACCAAGCACCAAGCACCAAACACAAAGCACCAATCACAAAGCACCAAACACGAAACACCGTGGAACGCCAGACTGCTGGGAAATCTCTGTGGCGCATTAAGGGTAGCTCATTGCGATTTGCGAAAGTCAATTCTGACAGAAGTGTGAGGATCCTTGATGAGGTCTCACCCAGAGAACTAACCCTTTCCGAAGGATCCCCAGGAATCTACCAGGATTCGGTAGTTCACCCGGAGAAGTAACCCTTTCCCCGGAGAAGTAACCCTTTTGTCGGAGAAAGAACCCCTCGCGGAGGGGAGCGGGGGTGCGAGGGCCCGCACCGATCGGCAAAACAATGAATAAACAAACCATCACCAATACATCGCCGATGTGCATCGGCGACGCATCGGCGATGCATCGGCGACGTCGGCGGGGCATCGGTGACGCCAGCGCGGAGAAAATCGGGCTCCACATCGAGACGCATCGGCGATGCATTGGCGATGCGCACCCCATCTAGGAGGCCTAGAGCAAAGGAGGACCATCCACCGGAGCTCCGCGGACGGCGCCCAACACTGGGGCGGGAGGATAGGCTCAGGAGGTTGGAAGGAAACTCCTGGGAGGTCTTCGTCAGAACGATAATGAAGGCTGTTAAGCCCGATTGAAAAACAAGTGAACCAAAATCGTCCAGATTAAACCCGAGATGAAGCCGGGCTGAGCGGGATGAAGCCAGACTGAGGGGGATCAAGCTGGATTCGACGGGATTGACGTATATCAGGCTTTGCTGACGGGGAGGCTGGAAATACTACGGGCTGGAACCACTGCGGACAAAATGGCTCGAGCAGGGAAAATCGCGCTCGCGTGGGAGTGCACAAAAATATGCAAAGGGAGCCCATGCCCCGACCACAAAAAAAACAAAGGGACCCCGGTGGGAGCCCCAATATCGCGCAGTGCCAATTCTCAAATTTGGCGCGGCCCTGCGACAGACATGCTGCCGGAAACTCGCACATGTGTTTCCAAACCGCCCCGGAAGGGGATTGGCTCCAGGGGGAGGGGGGGCGCGTCGACACCCGCTAGAGGCCCGCTGGCCCCACCCCGCAAGCGCACCTCGGCCGCGGCGCGCGGGCGCCACCCACTGGGTCTCCGCTGACGGCACCGATCAGGGGCAACGTCACGGGAGGCAGAAGCTTTCCGAACCCTCTCCGAAGGCACGGAGGGCTTCTCGGATTTCTGTTTCTTCGCAATCGCCTGAAGATTCGCTCGCGCGCCTTATTGAAAGGTAGTCGGGCGGTCCCTGTTAAAAACGATCATTGCTATACAACATGATCAGTATCAGTCGCCCCTTTGCGTCCCAAATATCTGCTGGGATTTGGGCTGGAGTCAAACTTGTGGATGTTGCCTAGCTTCCCAGGGCGGGAAGTCGGGCAGTTACAGAATGTGCATCAACAGTGCACTGCGTACGAGAAGGTGCACGGTGAGGAGCATGGATGAAGGCATATGAAGGCCGCAGGGCTTCCGAGACGCCCCGCTGCCTTCTGATGAGGCCTGCCCCCTCTCGCTTCCCCCTTCCGCGCGCCGCCGAGCCCTGGAGCGCACGCGGAAGGTCGCGGGGATGATCATGAGACAGGTGCATCGTTCGTCGGGATAGGCTCAGGAGGGTTTTCGAGGTTAGAGGTGTTCTGACGTTATCATTGATTCTCGGCGTGCCTCGGGGTGCCTTGCAGCGTCTGCGCCTCGCCGCGAGCGTCCAGGGGGTGCCCGAACCGTCCCGAACGGCTGGAAACCCAAGTTATGACCCGAAGGCTGCTCCTGTCAGGGCAGCGCTGGGGGGGAGACAGGCTCAGGGGGGTGCATCGATCCCCAATCGCCCACTCATCGCCGATAGGGGGCCCGAAAGCCCACCCCGCCCAGAAGCGTGCGGTTTCGCTATCGGGGGCCTATCGCCGACCTATCGGCGATGTATCGCCGATTCACGCTCGATATTCCCCCTTGGGCCAATCCCACCCTATCGTTAACCCTCAGCCGACGCCGCCAGCGCTGCGACATGTCTGGCTTCTGGGGCCAGCTGAGCGCCAAGAAGAGTTAGGCGATCGACATTATCCATGCGCCAGCTCACGCCCCGACCCCACGAGGGGCCCCCGTCGAAGTGGTCCCCAGCCAGGAGGGGAGAGGGTCCACAGAGTCAGGACAAAATGACAATGGAAGCACACACCAGAATGAAGGAAGGATTTTCCAGAATATCGAACGTCCTCTTTGGAGGTTTAACCTCTGGAGGGGATGGGTCGAGGGTCCAAAAAAAGCTTTTCTGTAAAACAAATACTTGGCTATGGGCCAAACAGCTTTTAACTTCCGCTCCGAAAAAATCATTCCGGCCACCTGGGCGCGATCCGTATGAGGAGTGTGCCAAAATTGGACTCTGGGAGCCAATCAGCCAGCGAACCAACCAACCAACCAGCCCTTCCCGGTGCATGTTTGAGGATGTCCCACACCGCTGGGCCTAGACTACATTTTTTCACCTAGAACCTAACACATACCCGTGTGAAGGAATGGCATGGCGTGGAATGCAATTGATTGGATGGGAGGCGCGCGCGGAGGGGCGAGCGGGCGGGCGGGCGAGCGGGCGGACGTACAGACGTGCGAGCGGGCGCACTGTGTTGCGTTACATTGCATTGCGTTGCGTTGCATTTGCACTGCATGTGCCTTGCATTTGCATGTGCATTGGCATTTGCATTTGTACTTGCATCTGCGTTTGCATTGCGTTGAATTGCGTTGCCCTGCGCTGCGTTGCGTCGCGTTGCATTGCATGTCATCATGCTTCGTTGCATTGCATTGCACTGTGCTGCATTTGCGTTGCATATGCAGTACGTTGCATTGCAGTAGACTGCGGAGAGAGGAGGAGGGAAGGGAGAGGGGGCAGGAGGGAGGAAGGGCGAGGAGGGGAGGGGGAGGAGGAAGGAGTGGCCTCCGCGGCGCTGCCACGTGACGAGTAGGGTGGAATGGTACTTTGTCGCGGGCCCAAGCCTTGCCACGTAGCGGACACTTCACCAACCAGCCAACCTGCCGACCGACCTGTCACCAGCCAACCAACCGACCAACCAACGATCATGTTGCGTTGCATTGCATTGCACTGCGTTGCATTTGCATTGCATTTGCAGTGCATGTGCAGTGCATTGAAGGACCATTGCGGGCGAGGGGGACGACAGGAGGGAGGAGAAGGGAGGAAGGTAGAGAGGTGGGGAGGAAGGAGGAGGACTGATGAGGGAGAAGGGGGGGAGGGGAGAGGGAGAATGAAGGAAGGAAGAAGGAAGGAGGGAAGATGGTGAAGGGACGAGGAACGGGTGAGGGAGAAGGACGAGGAGGATAGGATAGAACGTTTGTTTGCCTATCCTGACACTCGCCATCGTATCGTCGTCGTCATCGTCGTCGTCGTCGTTCTCGTCGTCATCCTCTTCGTCGCTGCCTCGTGACGACTAGAATGGAATACGATTTCTTCGCGCCTCCAGGCGTTGTCACGTGGCGAGTGGAGTGGCATAGTATTATGTTCGACCCCCCCGCGGCGCTGCCACGTGACAAGTAGAGCAGATGGAAAACTATTGTTTTCGCGCCCCCAGGCGATGCCACGTGGCAAGTGGAGTGAATGAGAATTTGTGCTCAGCCCCCAGAGGCGTTGCCACGGGACGAATATGTGTGTGGAATCGTATATTTTGTTTCGCCCCCCCCCCGGCGGTGCCACGTGGCGAATAGAGCGGAATAGAATTTATCTAAGCCCTTCGGCGCTGCCAAGTGACGAGTAGAGTGCAATAGTATTTTGTCGCCCCCAATGCGTTGCCACATGGCGAGTGGAGTGGAAAGTATGTATGTTCGGCCCCGCGGAGCTGCCACGTGACGAGGCGGACATTGCGTGACAGTGCATTGCATTGCAATGCATTGCATTGTATTGCATTACATGTTGTTGCGTTGCATTGCGTTGTGTTGTACTGCATTGCATTGCATCCTGTTGCGTTGCA